CATATTGAGTGCAGCACTTTCACAGCATCATCTTTTAGGATTTGAAATAGCTCAACTGGAATTCCATCACCTCCACTAGCTTTGTTCGTAGTGATGCTTCCTAAGGCCCACTTGATTTTGCATTCCAGGATTTTAATAAAAAGACTCCCATAAAATGGATGATTGGCTTAAAGAGATTCTTGTGGAGAATTTCAGTGCATGTAACACCAGGACAAACAGGAATACCAAAGCCCTAATGCTTGTGGGGTGAAAAATTCATGTGTCAAAGACATTAAGAAAATAAAGAGGATCTATGAGATGTAAAATCGGCCCCCAAAATTCAAAATTATAAAAATTACTTGAAACGCGCATATTCACCCACCATCCTCAACAATAATTCTCATTTTCGTGTGCCTCTGTATAACTCTCGCTGTGAGGTATTGCAAACAACACTGGGAAGACACCATAACTGCTAAGTATTTAAAATGATTTTTAAATTAACTTTTAAAAATATTTTCACACTTTAGACTTTACTAAAGTATGAAAACATGTTTGCGTGTTTCATAACATCCAATACATTAGTACACAATACATTAGTAGGTGATAATATTAGGTTAGCAAAGATAGGTAATTTTTTAAATATATATTTGAAGCTGAAAACTTAATCTTTTTTTTTTTTAACTATTTATTTAGGTGACATAGTAAAACTTGGAGACCACTAACCTAGAGTCAGCTTAGGGCCTTCCCAGGCCCTTTCTCTCCCAAGAAGCCCAGGGCCAAGATGAGTCCCATTTACGGGGGGGGGGGCGGGGAGACTTAGTCTGCATCCCCCAACCGTGCCGCACCGCGGCTCCTCCCAGCAGCACATAGCCTACCTGATTGTGCCATCGGATGACGTTCCCAAATCCCCCTGTCCCAAGCCGCTCTTTCATTTCCCAGGCCCCACATGTCTGGGTTGGTAGGGAAGGTGACCAGCTCATACTGAAGTCCGGCTAACGCTGCAAGCAATGTGGGGCGGGGGGACAAAAAGTGATGGTTAAGGAAAAGTGGGACTCGAGAAGATGGACAAGGTTAAGGGATGCCACAGCGCTTCGATGGGAAAGAAAAATCGGAACTGATTTTTCATCTCCGTACATAAAAGCAGGTGGCTGGGTCTGGTTTTCGTTTGGGGAGCCAAGTCCTGTCTTTCGCAGCCCCCCACCCCATCCCACCCCACCCCGAAGCTGTATGGAAGCAGCAGGGGGTGGGGTCCCGCCCAGGACAAGCCGCCCCCGCGCCCAGGACCTACCAGGGGATCCCCGGGCTGCGCCCCCGCCCCGCCGCCTCCCCGCTCAGCCCCCCCGAGGCCCCGACGAATCACCGCCGCGTCCCGGGCCCCCGCCCGGCACCACCCCGCCGGGGCCTCCCAACCCTCCCCTCCCGGGAAACCTCGGACTCGGGGCCGGTCATGCACGTCTCTGGGAGCCTCGGAGACGGGGGGGCGGGTGATACCGGGGGCGCCAGCCCGAGACACTCACCTGGCGGCGGGGCGCGGGCGCCACCCCGAAGACATGAACGTGCGGGGCCCTCGGAGCCGCCAGACGGGCGCCACTTCCTCAAACACTTCCTGCTCTGACGTCACGGGACACGTGGGTCGCGGCCTTAAAGGGGCCGCCGGCCTTAAAGGGGCCGCCGGTCCAGACGTCCCCGGCCCTGCCCGGACCGACCCCGGGGAAAACGCCCCCGTGTGCTCTAGACGTGCGCATTCTACCTGAGCGCTTTCTGGGACGAGGAAGATGGGGATTTCCTCACCCGCCCCGGGGTCAGCCTGACCACGCTTCCTAGACTTTGAAGTGGGGGAATTTCCCGGTCCCCACCCCCCACCGTCGCTAGAATGGATTTAGGGACGGTTTACAAGAATTACCCTGGGCCTGCAGCTTTTCTGGCTGCAATCCCTCCCCTGGTCTGGAGACTCCTGGGCTCATATTGAGAATGATAAATCACACCTGTAGTCCCTAGGCGTGACAACCTCCGCTTCCCCTTGAAAAAAAATTAAGAAGAGCGGGGGAAAATCTAATAGTGTAACTCAAAACTGCAGGTTCAGCCCCAGTAACGGGCGGAAATGTGAGACTATCTCTCAGCCTGTTAATCCTTCATCTCCTACCTGCTTGGCATCATGATTCGATTTTATTATTGAGTTTCTCAGTTCGAGGGCAACATATAAGCAAAGATGTGTGTGTGTGTGTGTGTGTGTGTGATTACTCAAGCAGGGATAAAGTATCAAAGGCAATCTGAAGATAATAGCTGACTTTACAGAGTGACAGAGTGCTTAAAAAGTCAGTCAGTTCAGTTCAGTCTCTCGGTTATGTCCGACTCTGTGACCCCATGGACTGCAGAACACTAGACTTCGCTGTTCATCACCAATTCCTGGAGCTTGCTCAAACTTACTACCATCGAGTTGGTGATGCCATCCACCCATGTCATCCTCTGTCATCCTCTTCTCCCGCCTTCAGTCTTTTCCAGCATCAGGGTCTTTTCCAGTGAGTCAGTTCTTCGAATCAGGTGGCCAAAGTATTGGAGCTTCAGCTTCAGCCATCAGTCCTTCCAATGAATATTCAGGACTGATCTCCTTTAGGATGGACTGGTTTGATCTTCTTGCTGACAAGGGGCTCTCAAGAGTCTTCTCCAACACCACAGTTCAAAAGCATCAATTCTTTGGTGCTCAGCTTTTTTATAGTCCAACTCTCACATCCATATATGACTACTGGAAAACCGTAGTCTTGACTAGAAAAGAAAGTGAAGTCTCTTAGTCGTGTCCAACTCTTTGCGACCCCATGGACTATAACCTATCAGGCTCCTCTCACCATGGGATTTTCCAGGCAAGAATACTGGAGTGGGTTGCCATTTCCTTTTCCAGGGGATCTTCCCAACCCAGGGATCGAACCAGGGTCTCCTGCATTGCAGACAGATGCTTTACCATCTGAGCCACCAGGGAAGATGGACCCATCTAAGTGCCTGACACTAAATTCTGTACTTAGGTTTCCTCGTCCAATCCTCAAGGCCATCCTACAAATTGGACTGCATTATTATTATCTCCATTTTACAGATAAGAAGACTGAAGCACAGAGAGAAAAAGTCTTCATCCCAAAGTCACAGGCTTTTAAGTGAATAATGATCTGATGTTCAAACCCCAGCAGCTGTTTTTGAGTGCAAGTTTTTAATATGTAGCTAAAAGTAGCATACTAGTAAGTTCAGAAGGATTTTAAATCCAGGTACTGCTGTTAACTACCTCTGGGACTTTAGGGCAAGTTACTCAGACAGCTCCAAGCAGCCAGTTGCTCTTTAAAAGGCAGGCAACATGGATGGATGGACTTGGAGGGCATTATACTTAGTGAAATATGTCAGAGAAAGGCAAATACTGTATGATATTACTTATATGAGGAATCTAAAAAAATACAAAAAACTAGTGAATGTAACAAAAAAGAAGCAGAGTCACATATATAGAGAACAAACTCGTGTTTACCAGCGGGAAGAAGGAAGGGGGGAGTGACATGATGGGGTAGAGAATTAACAAACTACTATGTATAGGATAAATAAGTTACTGAGAATACATTGTACAGCATGGGGACTATATCTAATATTTTGTAATAGCTATGAAAGTGAAAGTCACGCAGTCATGTCTGACTCTTAGTGACCCCTATGAAGTCCATGGAATTCTCCAGGCCAGAATACTGGAGTGGGTAGCCTTTCCCTTCTCCAGGGGATCTTCCCAACCCAGAGATCGAATCCAGGTCTCCCACGTTGCAGGCAGATTCTTTATCATCTGAGCCTTAAGGGAAGCCCCAGAATACTGGAGTGGGTAGCCTATCCCTTCTCCAGTGGATCTTCCCAACCCAGGAATCAAACCGGGGTCTCCTGCAGTGCAGGCGGATTCTTTACCAACTGAGCTAGAGTATAATCTGTAAAAATTTTGAATCACTATGTTGTGTACCTGAAACTAATATTGTAAATCAACTATGGTGCTTGGCACTAAGTTGCTTCAGTGACGTCCGACTCTTTGTGCCCCCATGGACTGTAGCCTGCCGGGCTCCTCTCTCCATGGGATGGATTCTCCAGGCAAGAATACTGGAGTGGATTGCCATGCCCTCCTCCAGGGTATCTTTCAGAGCCAGGGATCGAACCTACATGTCCCGTGGCTCCTGCGTTGCAGGCAGATTCTTTACTGCTGAGCCACTGGGAAGTCTCAGATCAACTATCCCTTGATTTTAAAAAATGTAGACAGCGTAAGGTTGAATCGCATTAAGTGATCTTTTTTTTAAATAAAACGAAACCAGTTGAAACATCAGCAACAAAGATTAGCGGTTTTATGTGGTTCAGCCTGAAAGCAACAGAACGCACAGGTCAGAGATGGGAGGGGCTGGGGAACTTGTTATGAAGGACAGATGATAAGATGGTAAAAGCCATGTCTGACATAGAGGAACTCTGACCTGGACACAGCCTGAGTCTGAAGTTAGCTCTTAGAAACAGACATCAACACAAGCAAAGGGGTCAGTGCGACCAGGGTTGACCCAGGTGTGCCAGGATGCTCAGAGTCTCGTCCTTTATGCTATTGTCTCTGCTAAACAACACACTTGACCTCAAAGCAGAAAGAGAAAGGAACATAAGTAAATAGTTGTAAAACACTTAGAATAGCGCTTGACATATTTTCAGTTCAATATGTTCCTTTAATAAATCAATTTTTAAAATAAATTTGTTTTCATAAATAAAATTTGATTGAACTCCTATGGGTGCTGGGCCCTATGTAGAGTCTGTTTCCTGTGTGACATCACAAAAGATTTCCTTTTAATCCTGTCCTCTGAAAATCACTGTTCCTGAGAAACTTAATGAGACATCCATTGAAATGCTAAAAGTTCACTCTGTGCCACTATAATTTAAGCATTCTCACTTACTCAGCTCAAAATAACTTTGTTTTCAACTGAATATAAATCTCTCTGATAAGTCACATATTGCTGAATTTAAAAAAAAAATTAATGACAGGACAGGAAGGAGTCTCTGGGTTTTATCACATCCCAAGATGTTTATCTTGTTAAACCCCTTATTCCCTCCAGATAAGACGTACTCACTGCCTACATCTGGTCTATATCCTGTTATAGAGATGGGTGAGCTGATTGTTTACACAAAATTATGTTCAGATGCAGAAGAAAAATCTTTCTTTTTCTTCCTGCTTTGAGGCTGAATATGCTATTTTGGATAATCCAGAAGCACTGGGCAGCCTGAGTGCCTGGCACGACCCTGGGTACCACTGTACCAGGGGCTCCAGCTCTCATCAGAGGTATCTAGAATCTTACTGGAGGCATGTGGCTCCCTGAGAGTTACCGCGATGAGAGACGGGGACCAAGCCATACAGAGTCCAGTGCTAATTTGTTCTGATGTAGAGGCCTTACGGCACTGCTGATAAGGATACCATTTCCAAGGGGGGTGTCTCACAATGAAAATATTCTTTAGCGGGTAAGTCAAAGATAACTATCCTCTGGCTCCATCTCTGAGAACCAAGCAGAACTGAGCTCCTTTGAGTAAGGAAAAGACTGTTTTCTGAGCAATCTTGAAGCTGACTCATACATAGTAACAAAAGGCAGATTGAAAGATAGGAAGGTGATAAAACAGCCCCTGGGAGGAATTCCCCAGGCCCCCAGCCCCGGAATCAGCTCTGGTTCAGTGATTTCAGCAATTCTTTCATTATCATTCCAAGTTTGTCTTATCCCAGCCCTGCAGGGAGAGGACTCTGCAAGTCAGGACACATTCCTGCAACAAACAAAAATTCTCTTGTCACAAAGGTTGGAAAAAGTGTTTAGTTGGTGGGCGTGAAGACATCCGCCTTTCTTCTAGGGAAGATGGTGGGAGGCGAGGGTGGGCTGACAGAGACTGATGGTGAGAATGAACTTGAGTCCCTCTTTAGCACAGAGCCAGCTGCAGTGAGGAAGGGAAGAACGTGCAGTCAACCTCTGCCTCTGTG